CAGTATGTCGCGGTGTGTTCATGAATAGGCAACGGATGTATAGACTTTTTGTTTATAATCAACCGTAACGGCCAACAGTAATTTCATGTAGTTTTACAAGTGGTCACGGATGTGTTTTGTTTCTGGACTAATCTTTACTTTTGGGGGAGGAACATTTACTACCGTGTCACTGAAACGAGACCGCCAAAATATTTCTACTGGAAATAGTTTTACTGAGTTCACCCAAGCGTGGCACAAACGATACATGCCTTGTTACATAGCTATTCAATTTCCCCCTACTCATTACTTAGAACACATGAAAAGAAAATAGTATGTGGGTTAGGCTTCGTGTGTTTTAGCGTGAAGTGAAGGATATAGAATCATCTGACAATGATAATTATTGTTTATGATAATATTGTGACAGAGCTGAAGTAAAACTTTGTGGATGTGAATAAATAAAGCAATGGTAGGCGATTAACGTTATCCATATACAAATTCTGGTAACCATGTAAGTATTTTTGACGGCTGCACACACCAACAAACAAACAGGCGCACACACACACGCATGTATAAAAATTATAACTCTTTTTTTTACTAATTTTTTTTTTTTGATTTTACGGAGCCACCGTGGTGTAGCGGATAAATGCTCGCCATCAGATCGGAAGGTATAAGGTTCGGGTCCTGATAGAGCCGGACTTTTTTTTCTTCCAGCAATTGGTATCCAGATCGACCCAGCTTTTTTTTTTTTTGGGGGGGGGGGGGGGGGGGGGGGGGGGGGGGGGGGAGGTAACCAGGTACATGTCGCAGGAAATAAAGGCGGCCGGCTAAGCACCGATTGGTCTATAACGTATATGTCCAATACATCTAAAGACGTTGAAAGAGGTCCTTTACTTTACTTTATTTGGTGAATTGTGTTGGTTCCAGCTTCTAGTCCAATCCGCAATGGACAAGTGATGCGCTCAGTCTGTCTCTCGTTCTCTCTCTCTCTCTCTCTCTCTCTCTCTCTCTCTCTCTCTCTCTCTCTCTCTCTCTCTCTCTCTCTCTCTCTCCCTGACAAACATGTCCATTGCGGATTGGACTAGAAGCTGGAACCAAAACAATTTACCAAATAAAGTAAAGGACCCCCTCCCACGCCTTTAGATGTATTGGTCCTATATATATATATAAAACGGCTTTGTGGCTAAGTCGATGTGAACGCTTCGTAATGCCGGGGTGCCGGTAACGATCCCAGCTGCGGGTCATGCACCTTGCGTTGGTTTCGACAGTGGTATCAGGGGGCCGACCGACCATAAAGCAATGGCAAACTACTGGACGTAAATTTGCCTAGAGAAACCACACAACAGCCAGGGGCTGCTGGCGTTGGTTCTGTGACGTCCTGTAAAGGATACGCAGCTGACCTATATATATATATATATATATATATATATATATATATATATATATATATATATATATATGAAACAAGCAAGTGTTGCTTGTTTCATATTTAAGTAAAATTCGCACTCTCGCATGACAGCCCGGTGTTTCAAGCACTGTGAGGTGCGCACCTGTCTATTCTAATGGTCCGATGGCTTTCTGCATTTTTTCAACCCATACTGATCAGTCTGTAGGGACTTCTGCCTAAAGGTTTAACATACCACAGTGGGATTTAAACATTTCATCTAGGCACACCAGCCAGGAAGATCACATATATCCCCGTTAAACCTCAAAAGAAGTTGTATAGCGCACTCGTAATGGCTGCACCAGCCAAGCGTAACTTACAGCCCTATGCGAACTATGGGAGTAACCTTGACTCCCAGGTCGACTCAGCCTTGAGTCAGTACCAGGTGCAGTCCTGGGAAGTGAAGGCGGCCGGTGTGATGCTGACCACATCACCCGTCAAGTGCCGATTTGTCTGTAAAATATAGGTATAGCCCTATCTATATGCCCTATACGCTTAAAGGCGTGCAAAAAGGACCTTTATTTGCGATGAGATAGCAATTCTCTATGATGCTTCAATTGCGACGAGAAATGAAAATTTACAAGCTATATAAATCCTATCTTAATGAATGGAAGTAAATCATGGAGAGTTGGTAGGCTAGTGAACACTTTTGTGAAAGCTACGGAGATGGGGTTTTATAGACGAATGATGAGAAAACCCTGGACAGATAAAATGAGTTATGAAGATGTCTTGAAAGAAACTGACCCACAGAGAGAAGTGACTTCTCAACATCAGAAAGAGAAAATCTGCAATCCTTGGTCATGCGATGAGAGGGAGAAAACAGGAGTTCATTGTGACAGTAGGAAAGTTGAAAGGGAGAAGAGGCAGAGGGAAATTAAGAGAAAAGATGCTGGACAGTCTGACATCATGGCATAAAGGATAATCTGTGTCAGAATTAACTAAAAGTACACGAAACAGAAGGTTGTGGATATATATATGACTACAAACGCCATACGACATGGACTTAAAGTAAGAAGAAGAACGCGTTTTACCGAAATATGCCATCATTAGAATGTGGGAATTCTTCTCTATTATCGCTTT